TTAGGCAAAAATCACGTAGATTATGTCGACGCCAGAAAAGAAGTCAAAGTATAATTATAAGGAACCCGCTGTCGGATTTACTGAAAATTTTTGCACATAGCGCCCAATTTTTACCTAATTTGGTGCAGCGCGGCAAAAGTACCTAATTTTCTAATGAATTCAAGATTACAGAGTACTTCTCTGCTCTGATATCGAGAATTTTTTATTTTTATAAAGCATGCCAATAGATCACACACATTGCGAATCAATCAATTATCTAGTTCCAGGCGTGTCTTGTTTTCCCAAAAGTTTACTATTAACATCCTAAGGTTAAATTTCTGTTATATTACAGGATTATGTCGGACTTAAATAGTAAAGAATCGTCTACCATTGATCTTCAATCTTGTGGTCGTGAAGGCAAAGAACGTAAATGTTGTTGTCGTCGTTTGAACTTACGGTTAAACGATTTTCTACAAATATGTTCATCCATTCTTATTCCATTATTAATTGGCGTTGCAACGATCGTTATTACTGTACAGCAACAGAAAATAGCCGACCAACAGCGTGAACAGGATTCAGAAGTAGCGGACAACATTCAAAAAGAAGCTGTGCTTGTTAAGTATTTGGAAACAATAGCCGAGAAATTTAGTTATAATGATGTCCCCAAAGCAGTACCACTTGTTCATGCTAAAACACTAACTGCCCTTCGTCAACTTGATCCAAAGAGGAAAGTGTATTTAGTAAAATATCTTTATGAATGTAAATTAATTGCACGAGCAGCATATTCATCAGTTATAGATATGTATGATGCCGATTTAAACAATGTTGATTTCAGTGGTACATCAAGTTTTAGTTCAATATCTTTGGTCGGAGCGCAGTTAGTCGGTGCTTCTTTTGCCAATCGGAATTTAACATATTCAGATTTTAGTTATGCAAATTTGACTGGCACTAATTTTCAGAATTGTCAGTTACAGAATGCTGATTTTACCGGCGCTTTTTTACAACAAACAGATTTTACAAATTCCGATTTGAGCGGAGCAGATTTTACTGAAACAGATCTGACAGGATCAAATGTTAATGCGAAACAATTGTTTACAACCACTTCATTTCAAGCGGCTATATTGCCAAATGGGACAAGAGCCATGGCCGCCGATGTCTAATATATACAGCTAGTGGAAACAGTATGATAGAGACAAATAGCGTGTAACGTTATTATGTTCTGAAAACAGGGAAACAGGGAAAAAAACAGGGGATTATCAAAAATATAAAAGATGACGGATGAAACTTGTATTTTTAATTAAATAGCCAAATGTCACAGAAAAATTAATTTTCTCCACCTCAAAAGCTAATTTATTAACTTTAAATATGGCATTGAATTTACTTTTTCTGCTCATTGACAACATTCTGAGTCAACAATATTTTTACCTAACATCCATCAGCGTACAAAAGGAAAAAGAAAGGGAAAAATATTCTTCTCATACAATTGAAATAGTGTGGAATACATCTCATCAGCTACAAATTATATTCAGACATACAATAGCTCATCTTGTAGAGAATTATTTTTTCTCAAACCTGTTATTTTCGAAAAAGTTTATGTTTGTGTTAACCACTGAAAATAAACAGAATATTGTCAGTAAACAGAAAAAGTAAAATCAATGTCATATTTCAAGTTAGTTTTGATGAGTTTTAGGTAGAGAAAATAATTTTTTTGTGAAATTTGGCTATTTAATTAAAAATACAAGTTTCATCTGTCATCTTTTATATTTTTGATAATCCTCTGTTTTTTCATCGTGTGGCCTCGACTTTACTCTTTCGAATGGAATATGAATAAAAATTCTATCTGTTCAATAAATATCAAAAGAACAGTGAAAAAGTGATCGTTCGGACTCTTATTGAGCGAAAAAAATAAATCGAAGTTAGAAAGCTACTGCCTTTTGATAGAAGGACCTGAAGTAAAAATCTGCTATTAATAAGGAATAAAGCTGAGACTTAGGCCTATCGAATGGTAAAAAAATTAATTTTTCTGTCTTCCTTTCAGAACATAATAACGTTACAAGTTTTTTGTCTCCATCGTAGAAACAGTTTTTCCATTAACTGTATTTATATGAAACCGATGTGCGGGCCCGGGAAAAAATAAAAGATTTTGTATGCCTTGGCTTGTATATCAGTTGAAAAAATTAAACTAAATTCACCGAAAAATTTAAAAAGCATTGAAATTCGGTCAGCTCGAGCGGATTTGTAATTATTTTAAGGCTTTTTTAAAAAAATTCATGAACTTTTTATCTGTGGGTACGACCCTAGCCGATAGAATCAGTTAATATTTTAATACAATTATTGACACAAATGTAAATTTCCATTCTTTTGAAACTTTTACACATTAAAAATCAACTCGTAGTTGCCGTTTCCTTTGTTGTTCTTTTATTGTATTCTTGATATTTTTGCGGATTGAACATTGCATGCGTTGCACTTGTAGACGTACAGGCGGTAGAGACCTGCAACTTGGATCGGGTTCGTTTTGTGTATTTTGCCGTGCAATTTAAAATATGGATAATAATTTCAAAAACAGTACCATCTACGGGGCCGTATATTGTGAAAAATACGGCCGTATACGGCCCTATTTTAATGAAGTTACGGTCCGTATTTCTGCGCTCAGTAGACCGTGTCGTTCGACCTGCGTAGTTTTCTATGAAAAAAGACTGTTAGATTGCTATCTCAGTATTCGGAGATCCGAACTGGTTTTCTAAAGACCTCCCTGAAAACACATCTTTCGAATATTTTTCGAAAAGGATCTTGCTTATGAAAACATTGATAAAACTGTCTTCTTTCGATTGCTGAAAATCCCAAATCTCTATCTTTTGTCGTCTTTGAGTTATTCGAAAAACAACTACCGGCCTTATA